AATCTTTACAGCAGGTCCACAATCTTCACTGGTTGAGCGGTGCTTACTTCTGGAGTGGCTGGGGCCTTGGCCTGGGTCTCTCTCTGGGTGGGACCCATATTCTTTTTTCAGAGGAAACACTGCCTCAGTTTAGCCACAGGCCTGGGCACCTGTCCCTGTATGCTGTGCTATAACCCCTACACCAAGTCTTCTGGAAGTGCATGAACAGTACTGATTCTCAGTCCCACTTAGACATGCAGATTTCCTCAGTCTGCTTGATGGTTCAGGGGGCTGACTAGGTCACAGTTGAGTTTAGGACCAGAGGGTGGGTCCATGCCTGTTCAGAATTCCTGGGCTCTGTAGAGCTCCTGGGCCTGTCCTGGAGTCAACACGTGTGCCCATCCACTCTTATTACAGGGCCAGGGTAGCATACAATAGGGTCTGTCTTCTGAGGCACTAACCCTAGCTGCTGCTTGACTTGAGATGGTCTACCTATCCTCAGCTTTAGACACTGAGTGTCTGTCCTGGTGTACCACGGTCCACAGCTTCCCTTCATTATCTGCAGGATGGTGGAAAGCTGGAAACCAGTGGGAGCTGCTGCTACCATCTTGAGACAGCATTTCTTTTTCCGGCCTGTTTGGGCTCATTGCCACGTGGAGTCTCTACTTAGCAGCCACAGGTGTAGGTATGTCTATACCCTTGTGTTAGGTCAGCAGCAAACTTATCAAGCATTTGGGTCCCGTTCCCCCTCGAGACAGGGTTTTTCTGTGTAGCATTGGAACCTGTCCTGGAACTTGCTCTGTAAACCAGGCTGGCCTTTAACTCACAGAGATCCACCTGGCTTTGTCTCCCGAGTGCCGGGACTAAAGGCGTGTGCCACCACCGCCTGACAGCTTTGATTTTATGTAGAAACTTAGGTCTATTTGGCTTTTGATCTATATAGTCCCAAGGTCTCCAGGATAGGGTGTGTGGTGGTTTGAATAGGAATGGCCCCATAGACTCATGTGTTTGAATGCTTGGCCCATAGGGATGACACTATTAAGTGTAGCCTTGAAATATGTCACTGTGGAGGGCTTGAGGTTTCATATATGCTCAAGCTATGCCCAGTGTGGCACACAGTCTCCTGCTACCTGAGGATCAAGATGTAGAACTCTCAGCTCCTTCTCCAGCACCAAGTCTGCCTGCATGCTACCATGCTTCTTACCATGCTTTATAAGAAGTGCTGTGGTCATGGTGTCTCTTCATGGCAACAAAAACTTAAATACAGGGTGCCTTTCTCCTGAGCTACGTGGCTGACTAGATGCCTGGAAATTGGGGAGGACTTGAACCCACCATCTCCTATCTGTTCATTCCCTAGGGAGATACAGATAAGCAGGCTCAAGAGGGGTTTTCTTGGGGCTGGAGAGATGGCTCAGAGGTTAAGAGCACTGGCTGTTCTTCCAGAGGTCCTGAGTTCAATTCTTAGCAACTACATGGTGGCTCACAATCATCTGTAATGAGATCTGGTGCCCTCTTCTGGCCTGCAAGCATGCATGTAGGCAGAACACTGTATACATAATAAATAAATAAATGTTTTTTTTTTAAAAAGAGGGGTTTTCTTACAGCCAAGGAAACAAGATGGCTGAGGTTCAGGCCAGAGCTGGGCTTTGTGTGGCCAGTTCTTCCAAGATAACTTTCCATCTTGGAGGGAAACTTACTGAAGATACAGGATAAAGGGAAGCAAAACATTCCATTTGAACCTCCAGGAAGTAAAAACGCAACAGCTTCAGGAAATCTCTGAAACTAACCAGATTCACTAGACCCCACCTTCCTTCCCAAGTTTCCATAACAGAGGTTCTCAACCTGGGGGTCAAATGACCTTTTTACAGGGGTTGCCTAAGACCATCGGAAAACACAAATATTTATAATACATATCAGTAGCAAAGTTACAGTTAGGAAGCAGCAATGAAAATAATTGTATGGTTTTGGGGTCACCACAACATGAGGAACTGTACTAAAGGGTCGCAGCATCAGGAAGGTTGAAAACCATAAGGACTGTAGAAAGACACTTTCAAACAAGCTGAACCCAGGTTGACTTTGAGTTTGAAATTAAACTTTAGTCTTCAAAGTAATTTAACTTAGAAATGAACAGGGGTTAAAGATCACACACACACACACACGAGACAAATCAGACAGACAGAGAAATGGGTAAACAGAGGGGTGGTGATGGCCTGCTGCAGTCACATCTTCTCCATCTTCGAGATGAGGTCATCACAGATCCTGGTCAGCTCATCATTTTCTTTAGTCTGAAAGAGAAAGGATGAGGCTGGTTTCTGTAGGGTCTCAGAGGGAGTGGCAACTGGCTAGGAAGGTCCCACCCATCTCAAGTAGGACAGGGGACTAGAAAGGAAAAGGCTGGCCCTGGACTTCCTGAAAGAAATGGCTAGTAGGGATATAAATTTAAAAAAAAAAAAAAGATATGGCCAGGCAGTCTCTGTATCAAAGTCAACTCCCAGAGCAGGGCCCGGGGTCCCTGTGCCTTACCTTCTGTTCTACAGTCTTCTCCAGTGAATGGATCTGCATCTGGGCCTTCCTCAGGCTTGCCTGGAAGGCCAGTGTCTCTCCCTGGGCCTTGCTACGTACTTGGGCGATCTCCTCATTTGCCCTTGAGGGACAGAAACAGACACAGGCTAGGCCTGGCCCAGCAACAAGCTGGCTAGGCCTTCCCCCCAGGATGGGTATCTGGAACTCACTGCTTGAGCTTTTCTTCTGCATGGGTCTTCAATGCCTGGTACCTCTGGCCTTCCTTTTCAACCTTCACTATGTATTCCTCAACACATTTCTTCAGTGACTCTTCATTCTTGAGAATAAGCAGACAGGAAACACTAATGGTGCACTGTTCCACCAGAGCCAGAGCCTGTCCAGACTTGGCAGGTGGGGAGTCCCAGGGTCAGGTGCAGACTGTAGACACTTAAGGCTTTGAGGACATTAGTGATTCAGAACCTGGCATTTTCCCTTCACAAAAGTCCTCTTGATGTACATGTAGTCTATCCCACCTTCAAGGTGCAGACAGCTTCAGGACTTGCACCTCAGACTCGGGTCTGATCCCCAGACCCTGTAGTATCAGACATCAGTTTCTGCTTAAGAGTGCAAGTCATGAATAGAACCACTGCACACTGCAGGCTGACGGCAGCACAGCCATGAGGGATATGTGCAGCCTCGCTCCCCACAGCACTCTTTGGCCCTCTCATACCCACAGGGAAAAGTGAACTACTGAGGGTCATGTAGCAGGAGGTACTAGAACTCAGTAGCTGGCTCCCCAAATGACTTGTTTTCTCCATAGACACCATGGGGAAAACCCAGTTTACCCACCACCTGACCTTTTGTTGTTGTTTGAGACAGGCTTCTTTGTGTAGCTCGGCTGTCCTGGAACTCACTCTGTAAACCAGGCCGGCCTTTGCTTCCCAAGTGCTGGGAATAAAGGCGTGCACCACTGCCCAGCTCAGTTTGCCCTTTCTTGCAAGGTTTTTTTTTGGTGTGTGTGTGTGTGTGTGTGTGTGTGTGTGTGTGTGTGTGTGTGTGTGTGTGTGTGTGTATGGAGGGTTGTTACTAGAGATTAAGCCAAGGGTTTCATGTATGCCAGGCATACTAACACTGAATGGGGAAACCCCCAGTCTCCTCTGAGACTCCATGCTTACAGCCTCCAAAATCTATGCTTCACAGATCTGGGTATGCTTCTCCACCAGAATCTACTGGGTACAGATTGTCTTGTTGATAGGCCATCCCATGGCCTGGTGCCAATGAAAAGTAGTCAAGGACCCAGGAACACTTAGCACAGCTCATGGCCCCACTCTTACGGGCTATGCCCTGTAAAAGGACCAAAGGGGAAACAACGCACCTTGCGGTAGCCTTCAATCACTTCTTTCTGCTTCTCAAACCTCTTGAAAAGGTCAGAGAAGGACTTTTCCATGGAGTTCAGGTCTGCAGTAAGTTGGTCTCTCTCTTTCAGAACCTTCTTGATTTTGTCTTCTGAGAGTTCCTTCTGTTTCTCAGCATCCTCTTTAAAAAGTTAAGTATCTGGGATTAGGAAGCAGCTACTATACTGAATGCCAGAAACAGCTCTGAAACAAGGGGTGAGACAGAGCAGCAGGAGAGATGGGGAGCCGGGGCAGGGTGCATCAGGTATGGACACTACTAAGTGTCCATAACACGACAAGCACTGCCCCCCTCATGTTCTCTGGGATGTAACACAGGCCTAGAACATGCCTGCTTCTTTCTTGTCAGCCTCATGAGGATTTGGCCCAGGACCTACCAGTGTGATGCTGAGGAAACACCAGCAAGACTGGAGGAAGCAAGTGCCAGTGTGCTGGACTTAAGGTTCATGTGAGGACATGTGTCATGTGCTGTATGGGTCTTAGGGGGAAGGAGAGCAGGAAGACCTGTCTTGACCACTGTTGGCTTGACAGATCCCTATAAGGACACCTGTGTTTCCACTCTGATACTTGCAATTATCTCTGGGGAGGGGAAGCCAGGGCAGTGCATGGTGTAACAAGTTGCATGGCATCTGTCCCTCTTTAGAGCCTTGGCCACCAGCTGTTCAGTGAATGTCAGTCACATGGGTACTTCCTCCCTTCATTAACCCTCACGAAAGAAATCTAGGTCCACAAGCTTGGCTTCCACTGCATTCCTGAGTAGACTCATCTGCATCCTGTATACTGAAACCAAACAGGAACCCTCACTTCTCAGAGCACAGGTTAGGAGAAGAAATGGACAGTATATTGTTACCTCAGAACACAAGGAGAGGGGCACAGCTAGCACTCACCCATTGATTTGTACACAATCTTCTCAAACCCATCCACGATCTTCCTGTAGAAGGAGAGAGGATGAGTATCTGTGGCTCATGGTGCAGGTAGATCTAGGTCAGCATTGGTGCCTGCAGTCTTACCCCATCTCCAAGTACTTCATGTTGAGGTCCTCATACTTGCTCCTCAGCTCCAAGTTCTCCTGTTGTGTCGCATTCACCTACAAAAGCCACACATACCACTCACAGGTCTGTGGGGTGTCTTTCTCACCAGGGACTGTTTCATTCACATCCAAGGTCTCTGGAGCCATGCCACACTGAGTTATGCTGGCTATGCTCATGAGGGCAACCTGCTGTGGTGGAACCCAGCAGGCACCCAGAGAGTATGTGTGTTAACCAACTAGCCACAAGGGGGCGCCATAACCCCGTTCCAGTTGGCTGTATGTAAGCAGGTATCACAGGCCCAAGTTCAGTGTGGGACCCTCAGGCCTGTCCTGGTGCTCTTCCTTGATCTGAGACAGATAGATGCATGTAGGAAATTCCTGTATGTAGCTTGTGTGTATCTGGTCATAGTACAAACTGCACTTAGAATAACCTGTATCTAGCTCTCAGCTCTTTCTCCAAACAGTCTCCAATTTTTACCAAGTAGCTACCAGCCTGTTCTTACCAATGCATCCAGGTCTTTCTGGCTGTATAGCAGCACATCCACAATAGGCTCCGCAGGAAGGAGACCTCTAGGCTCAAGGACACACAGAGGTGGGCCTGGCTCCTGTGGGGGTAAAACATAGGCCCTCAAGATCTCATTCATCTCTTTAGACCACAAAAATTGCTCCAATGATGCTAAAGTGCTTACAGGAACATCCAGAGCTCCCAAGAAATCTAGGTCCACAAGCTTGGCTTCCATTGGATTTCCCGAGCTAGACTCATCTGCATCCTGTATACTGAAACCAAACAGGAAGCAAGATCACCTTATGCTCTGAGTATTGACTAGGGCATAAAAGTCAGTTGTGTTGTCTTAACAAGCTTTGTGTTTGGGTCTTAGTCTACACACAAACAAAGGTTAGGAGTCCAAAATGTAGAACTGGGCCTGGCAGTTACTGGCTCATGTCCCCCTTCTCCTACTTGTCTTCTCATGCCTGATGCTTCGTTGGTCATGGCAAGCTATGCAGATGTGGTAGCTACCTTACTGTGGTGTCTTCAGACTGCACAGGGTGAATACCTAGTTAGAGGTGGCATAACTTTTCTTCTCTGGTTTCAAGGGTCTTATGTTTGATTTAGCAAGTAATTTTCAGTATATTTTGATTACATTTTCTTCCAAAAAAGTAGACACTAGCCTGGATTTTTCCCATAAATGTTAGATTTGAAGCCCTATGGCTTCTGTCCCAACTATTCAGATCTGCCTTCACAGTATAAGTTGTCCTAGGTGATTCATGAAGGAACAGGCATGACTGTGGAACTAGAATTCCACTCATAAAAGCAAATACTATCTGACCTGGTCCAGTTTGGTACCTTATTGTGTATTTATTACTTGTGTTTACTAGGTGGCTTGTGTGAAGAGAGGATGCAGAGCTCCTTACTAAAACACACACTACCTGATACATGTCCTATTTGTCCGGCACCATTACTTACTCTAGTTCAGTTAGCCCTTTTCTATAATTTTTTAATCAGTTAGTATACATGCTAACATCTTCAAAGGAAGGACATACCTATTTGTCACCGGGACCACTGGCATTGGCCGCACAGGGCTTTCTTTCAGGAGGGGATCAAATTTCAAGTACAAAGACTGCTTCCTCCAGGCTGACTCCTTAAACTGAAAGTTGGAGAGATGGGGCAAGGAAAATCAGTAAGATTCACCATTACTTTAATAGACACAGCCCATGAGCTAGGGTGATCTTGTTGAGCAAAGGGGGCAAGGGCTCTTAGACTCAGACATGATCAGATACTATACAGGAACTGCAGGATGCTCCAGGCACCAAGGATAAATGGCCTAGGCTGACTGGGTTACACATTTCAGTTAAGGCTGCCATCAAGTGCTAAGTACCTACCGAGGAAGTTCCAAACTGCTCCAGATAATCCACTTCAGCACCAGTACCTAGAACTGAAAGAATGAATAATAATGGTCATTCACCTCAAATACTGCAGGCCCCGAGGGCTGCATACCCAAGTACTTAACAGAATAGGATCACTGTTCTTTTGAGGGGGGTGGTTAGGGGGCTGTTGAGACAGGGTTTCTCTGTGTAACAGCTCCGACTGTCCTGGAGCTCACTTTGTAGACCAGTCTGGCCTTGAACTCAGAAACCCCTCTGCCTCCCGAGTGCTGGGATTAAAGGTGTGAGCCACCAGCGCCCAGCAGGATCACTGTTCTTTGTGCAGCCTGACCAGCAGCTTCCCTGTTTCTACGAAGGAAGCCTGAGCCAAAGCCCCTGTGTTTTACAGGGAGAGGAATCCTTTCTCTCCCGCTTCATATTCAGTAACAACACTTAAAATCCTATCCAAGTTTCACTGAATGTGAGGATGTGGAACCCATGGAGTGACCTAACTGTTACTTTTTCTTTCTGGAGACAGCCCAGGCTAGCCTTGAACTCCCTATGTAGCTAAAGAGGACCTTGAAATTTTTTTTTTCCTTTGTCTTTTCTGTGTAGCCCTGGCTGTCCTGTAATTCACTCTATAGACCAGCCTGGCCTTGAACTCACAGAACTCTGCCTGTCTCTGTCTCCCAAGTGCTGGAATTAAAGATGTGTGCCTCTCCTGCCTGACTGGTCATTGGGTATCATCACAATGTGATAACATCTTTTTTACATCATCGCAGTAATAACATCTTTTTTGTTTGTTTGTTTTTGTTTTTTGAGCTAAGGACTGAACCCAGGGCCTTGCGCTTGCTAGGCAAGCACTCTACCAATGAGCTAAATCCCCATCCCCGAGTATCTCATCTTAAGGACCAAAAGTTCACATGTGAATTAGTCAGAGAAACAGCCTGCAGAATAACTACCTGCAACTCGAAGGAATATTAAGTATCCACAGGGATTTTAAAGCAACTGATGGTGACACCTTGGGGCCACATACCTTCTGCTGGGTCTCTGAAGCTCTCCTCATTTGGGTCCAAGATAGGCTCTGGTCCCTGATGAGAGGGTTCCAGCACTGGCTCAGGAGGGGCCATCAGTTTGTCATCCATGACAGGCTCTGGTCCCTGAAGGGAAGGCTCCAGCACCGGCTCAGGAGGGGCCATCAGTTTGTCATCCATGAAAGGCTCTGGTCCCTGATTAGAAGGCTCCAGCACTGGCTCAGGAGGAGGAGCCATCAGTTTGTCACCCATGATAGGCTCTGGTCCCTGATTAGAAGGCTCCAGCACCAGCTCAGGAGGGGCCATCAGTTTGTCATCCATGAGAGGCTCTGGTCCCTGAAGGGAAGGCTCCAGCACCAGCTCAGGGGGGGCCATCAGTTTGTCATCCATGATAGGCTCTGGTCCCTGAAGGGAAGGCTCCAGCACCGGGTCAGGGGGGGCCATCAGTTTGTCATCTATGACAGGCTCTGGTCCCTGAAGGGAAGGCTCCAGCACTGGCTCAGGAGGAGGAGCCATCAGTTTGTCATCCATGATAGGCTCTGGTCCCTGAAGGGAAGGCTCCAGCACCGGCTCAACAGGAGGAGCCACCAGCTCACTGTCCAGAAAACTTGTGGAAGCTGAAGTGCTTGAGGAATTCAAGACTCCCTCCTAAAGGGAAGCATCACCTTGCACAGTGAGGTCCCAGATGGGGAGGGGAGGCTGGCTCTGTCTTACCCATTTCTCCTTAAAATAAACCCAGATGGGGAGGCAGCTCTAGGGGATGGAAATAGTAGTGTTGTGTCCCACCCTGTCACCAGAAGGTTGCTGGTGGCCTCTTCTGCCATGTTATTTTTCTTTGTTTTCAGACAGGGTCTCACTCAGTAGACCTGGCTGGGGATTACAAGTCTGTACCACACCTGGATGCCCTGTTCATTTTTTCTACACAGTATATAACGATGGTGATAGCACCTCTCCGTACACACATACATACCTGTACACCATCTTCTGCGCTTAGGATCTCGACTGCCATCTGAACCACAGGTGTATCATCCACTGGGGCTAAAGGCAGCTGACTGGAGAGACAGAGTCATCAGAGTTGGGTCTTCCCTAAGTTCCCTGCTCTGGCATTAATTTACCTCCTCCCTGTTGCGTTGGTTCACTTGAGAAGCTGCTCATGCTAAAAGATACATGGAAGTTTTCTCTGGAGGTAACAGATTATTTGGCTGCTGGCACGTTAGCACCTAATTTCATGTCACAGCTGCCTCCTGGAATACCTAAGGTCAGTGGATTGCTGTACCAACCAACCAGCTTTCACCTGAGTGGTAGCCTATGCTTTTCCTTTTTTTGTGTGTGGAAAGACAGTCTTACCACACAGACAAGTCTGGCTTCAAACTCTTACCTGACTTCCTCAGCTATGGTCCTAGATTAGAGGTGAACTACCTGTACTGATTGTTAGTTAAGCTGACATGTGCTGTTGTGCTTCAAGACGGACAACTCTGGAGCACCTCTCCCATGGTCTTGGGACAGGACTCTAAAGCTGTGCCGCTTTAGTTCTGGACAATCCTGAAATCTGCTTGTCTTGAGACCATGAAGGGAAGTAGTATGCTGGCTATGTAAAGAAGTGGCATCGGGGCTGGAGGGATGGCTCAGTAGTAGTTAAGGGCCCTGGCTGCTCTTCTAGAGGACCTGGGTTCAATTCTCAGCAACCGCATGGCAGCTCACACCTGTCTGGAACTCCAGTTCCAGGGCTTCTGACACCCTCACACAGATCTACATGCAGGCAAAACACCAATGCATATAAAATAATGAACTATTTTTGCACTTAGGCTCCAGATTACACACACCATTAAGAAGCTGCTCCTGCTGCCAGGCAGTGGTGGCACATGCCTTTAACCCCAGCACTTGGGAGATAGTGGCCGGGGGATCTATGAGTTCGAGGCTAGCCTGGTCTACAGAGTGAGTTCCAGGACAGGCTCCAAAGCTATACAGAGAAACCCTGTCTTGGAAAACAAAGCAAAACAAAACTGCTCCTGACATGCCCATGTTCCCCTTTCCTACTTACTGGGTTGGAGAGTTCTCCGCGTCTGTAGGCCCAGCACTCAGCTGCTCAGCCACAAGCAAGGTCAACCTATTCTTGGGACTTTCTGGGAACTTAGCTTTTTTGCCATTATACTTGGAGTCACCTCCAAAAAGACTGAAGTTTGAGTCATCCAATTTTTCCCAGTTAAGGTGGTAAGAGTCCCAGGAAGCAGGCTGGGGACATTCATCTCTCTCTCTGGTCCCATCTCTTTCTTCTGCTTCTTTGGGGGCCTGCTCCTGGCTGGCCTCTGATTTCTTCAGAAGAAGCTGGAGGCCAGGTCTCTCTGCCAGTCTCCTTGGTGAAGACACCTTTGGGTTGGCGGTATCATCAGAGAAGTCAAATTCTAGCCTTATGGAGTCATGACTTGAATGGATGACCATTTGGCCAGTGGCTTCTTCATGAGGACTTGGGTCTGTGGCCCCATCTGCCTAAAGAGGGCCAGTTGGGGTTGAGTTCTTAGAACTAGATGAACACAAATGGAAGGAAGGGGGGTCTGGGTGCCTGCTGCTACAATCCTGGGGCAGGCTGAGGCCTTATAAATTAGGTCTGAGTGTTCCGCTTAGCTTTATTAACTAAACTGGTTCTGTGCTAAATAATCTACTTAAACTGCCTATGTCTCTCTTGATTGGACCCATTCTTTCATAAGGTAAGAACTGAAAGACTGCCATATCACCTCCTATGTTGGGACCTTGGCCATACTAAAAGATAATGCCTGAAAAAAATCAAACACCTAGCTGATCACTCTGGTTGTTCCCCCATCCTCCACCAAACAAGCTCCATGAGCTTGGGCATCATGCTGTCCTTAGTATGCAGGCTCAGCAGAATACCTTAAAATGATGAATGGCATTATGGAACATGCATGTGTCTAGGCCAAGGATAAACTCACAAGTGACTACTCAGAGCTGCCCTCCCAGTAGATAAGGCAGAGACAAGAACTTCCTTGGCCTCAAAGTAAGCTAGAGTCATAGCAGCCAAGTGCCAATGCTGGCTCTGTGTTTCTGAGGAAGCTGTTATAGACCAAAACTGTTTGACTTAAACGCTAATCTCATCTGACTGGATTTCAGAAAAATACAAAATAAAATTGTAAATTAACAGGGACACCTGAAAAGAGCAACAGATTTAGGGGTGCTTTGATAGGACAGAGCTGGCACACAACCCAGAGAAATGTCGTGGCATTAAAGTTAAGAGCACAGGAGTGAACAGGAGTGATGTTTTATTATTCCTCATATTTTTCTATTATATATATATATATATATGTACATACACACATATATATATAAAATATAAAGTTTCAACAGTGGAATCAGTAAAAACAGAACAAAATCATACCAGAGACCCCTCCTACTCTCGATAAAGATGTGTTCTTGGTACCAGTTTGGTGAAGTACTAATTCCAAGGTCCTCCTCTCTAGGCAAAGCCTTAACATCTGCTTGTCATTTCAGTAGGGTTCCTACAGGGAAATGCCTAATGTACTTATGGATGAAGCTTCTCCCCATCCTTTTTAGCCAAAACTGTCCTTACTAGTTTCTCTTTTGTGGATGTTTGCATGCAGATATGTGGATGTGTACGCACATTGTGCATGTGTGGTGTTTGTACATGTGCCTAAGCAGCCAGAAATCAATACTTGATATAGCTTTCTCAACCATTCTCCACTTTATATCTTGGAGATCACTGATTTGGACAGAAAGCACCAAAGATTCTCCTATGTCCACCTCACTAGGGCTGGAATTAAAGGTGTATAGTTCTGAGTTTGTTTTTTTAAAGATTTATTACTTATGTATTTTATGTATATGAATGCTCTGTCTTTATGCACACCAGAAGAGGGCATCAGATGTAATTATAGATGGTTGTGAGCCACCATGTGGTTGCTGGGAACTGAACTCAGGTCCTCTGGAAGAGCAGCCAGTGCTCTTAACCACTGAATCATCTCTCCAGCCCATGTTCTGGGTTTTTTAAAATGTAGGTACTGAGAATTAAACTCAGGGCCTCATGCTTGTGTAGCAAACAGTACCAAGGGAGTCACCTCCCAAGCTCTGATTAATTGATCACATGATAATTTCTCTGCCTATGAGTTCTATCTGCTCTCTCCAAGTGTTGAGTGTAGGAAGGCAAGTGCTGATTTCAAGGAGGGAGAGATGAGCGGAACTCCATAGGAAGGAGACTATAGATAACCTTTTCTGGAAATGCGATTTGGTCATTCCATCAAGTTATAAAAATAAAGACTGGGTGGTAGAGGCCCAGCCAAAGAGTGAAGTATGGAATTAAAATGGTCCAATTATCTGATGATTAACTCTCCACTAACAACTGTGCCAGATTTTTCTCCTAAGGGCAGTGACCAGAGGAAAAAAATAGTCCAGCTATGACAGGACTGAAGGTTTGCAACAACCCTCAGACAGACTCGCAGGACATGAAATGGCATCAACACTTACTTCTCTTTCTGTAAGCAGACGCAGTGATTGTTTTCTAATCCAATATCATCATCCAGAGCAAAAGGAGTCTCAAGTTTGCTGGTCATATTAGGACTTAAGATCCTGTGTGTCTGTGGATCCCGAAGAGGTGTCTGAAAAGTCACCTAGTGAAAGGTGAGGAGAGTGTACATGCTCCATGATACAAGCCCTCACATGCAAGCCAAAGTACTACAGTTTAAGGTTCTCAGAAAGCCAATCCCAGAGCACCTGATGAGTACATACATTATAGTCCACACTTACCTTTGTGGCTCTGGCCTGGTTTCTGGGTGGTACATTTTCTTTCTGTGACAGACGGAGAACAGAGGATCTTCCGGTAAGTTCCGGTTGTGAAAACAGGAAGTCATAGCTTTCTGAACTCTTTTCACTGGGGACATTTTCGTCATTTAAGATATGCAGACTCATTCTGAAAAAAAAAAAAAAAAAAAAAAAAAAAAAAAAAAAAAAAAAAAAAAAAAAAAAAAAAAAAAAAAAAAAAAAAAAAAAAAAAAAAAAAGAGTATGTTTTAGTCACTAGGAAGTCAATGATGCTGCAGCCCCATGTACAGAAATACCCCACAAATACATCAGTGAGATACTTCTTCCTGAATTGGTAAAGCTAGTATCCTTCATAGGTATACTGTTAGTACTTCAAGTAGGTGTCATCTGCCAGAGAAAGCCTCAGGCTCCCTTGTATTGTATCAGGTATACTGCCAACTGCTAATAAAGTTCAGGTTGAGAAAGAAAGAGAACCAAGTATTTAGAATAACTTCCATTAATGTATTACACTGTAGGGCAAGAGCAAGGGGATGTAATCCTGCCTTTAAGAAAACCAAAGAAGCTGGGCAGGAGTGGCACACGCTTTTAATCCTAGCACTTGAGAGGCAGAGGCAGGGGACCATGGGTTCCTGAGGGTTCAAGAACAAGGAGAGGTAGCGGGGAGGGGGGGTCATCACAAAGAGAAGCTGCTGCTAACTCTGCTTTAGGAGTCCATGAGGAAAAACAGGAAGGGAAAGGACAGAACCAGAGGTTCCTGTAGCCAAAGAGAGGTAGACTAGGTTGCTCAGCAAGGTACACAGGACATGGGGTAAGGAGAAGAGAAATCAAGACCAATGTTTAGGATTTTTGGCCTGAAAAGCTGGTTATCAGAAAGCATGGGGAAAAGGGTACTGGGATGACTATGGAATTCACAAGCTTAGGCTGTGTGGCCTTGGATGAAGTCTTTCAAGAAAGAAAGTGGAAGAACAGCTGATCCAGCTTTTGCTTAGGATGGGATTTTTTTGGGGGTGTTGGGGTGGGTGTGGGGGGTGAAGGGGAGACCAAAGATTGACATGAGGTGTTTTCTTCAATCACTCTCCACCGTATTGGATTCTCTAACTGAACCTGGAGCTCACTGATTCAGCAAGACTATCTAGCCAGTGAGCCCCAGGGATTCTCCAGTCTGCCTGCCCAGTGCTAGGATCACAGGCAAGTGCAGCCACACCACCCACTTTTTAGGTGGTGCTGGGGACCTGAACTCAGGTCCTCATGTTTGTTTGTCACGCATGTTTCTGACTGAGCCATGTCCCTAGGCCCTGGAGGGAGTTTTTGGGCGCTAGGCTTGACAAGCCAGGCTTCTTGGTTCTGCTGTCTTCTTGGTGCAGGAGTGACTGTGGGGTGGGAGAGGGAGCATACGGAAGCTTTTGATGTTGCCTTAGTGAGATGAAGCTTGGGGTCAGGTGCCTATGAGAGACGATACAGCTAAAATTGATGATGGTCTCCCAGGTGGAGTATGGGGAGTGGGAGAACGAAGGATGAGACCTCTCTCACCTGGAACAGTGAGTTGGCAGGTGTGTAAAATTAAGGGAACATGACTGAAAATAGCATTTCTGAATCAAATCCTATAGGTACAGGCATGAGGTCACCCTGGTAGCTAGAGTTGAGGAAAAAGGCCTCGGCCCTGAAGGACCCTGTTCAGAGAAGAATGCTATAAAGAAGGGAAACCCATCTGGCAGGATCATCTGTAGTCTCCAAGAAAAGCCATTTCTTCTGAGGTTGTGGCCAGGCTGTATAGAAGGGTCACTTAGAGGCACTGGCCCAGGAACAAGAAACCATCCCTGGGATAAGTGGGTTCAGGACAACAGACAACAGACAGTTTTGCAGAAAAGGTGAAAGAAAGAGACCTGGGGCGAAGAATGTCCTGGCTCCGAGACGCGAGTCTCATCCACTACACACTCGACAACAACAGGAACCTGGGGAGATAAATCGTCACGTGTGGCCTCTTTGGAGGCCATCAGCTGGCTCAGACCTGCACGGAATGCAGCCCGCGGGCGCCAGTCCTGCCTAGGAGGCTTGGTGGGCCGTTAGCCCAGAAAAGAGGACGCTTGGGCCCGGGGTGGGCCCTCAACAAAGGGAGAGGGCGAAGCTGCGGGTGAAAGGACCCGCAACCCAGCCTGTAGGAATCCAGATCCGCGGGGCTGGTCCCCACCCCTCGCCCGCAGGAAATGGGAAGTCGCCGTTTACCTGCCTACTGCCGACGGGCCCTGGGCCCGCGCCGCCGCCTACCGCAAGGAAGGAGCACCGCCCCTGCTCCACGCTAGGAGTCCGAGCTGGAGAAACCGAGACCAAGTAATTCCAAACAAGCGCTGGCTCTGGCCGTCCGTGACCGTGGTCCGCTGAGCCCGCCCCAGATTCAAATAGCGAGAGTTGACGTCCCGCGGCCAATCAGCGCGCGGCAGGAGAAGAACGCCACGGCCGCCGGCGGCCAATAGCAGGCCGCACCGGTCCCGCCCTTCACAAGCAAGCAGTTCCGCTTCCGGGACTGAGGGCACAGTGGGCGCGTCGGGGCGTGTGGGCGCCGTAGCCTAGCATCGCAGGCCAGGCCGGCTGTTCCGTAGCCTGCCGCTGTGGGGTCCATCATGGCCCCGACCATCTCAGCGTCGGCCGCGAACGCGGTCAGAGAGCGGCTCGGCCCTTGCGTGGCTTTTCTCAGCTGTTCAATGGAACCAGCTGCAGTGTCTTCTCCGAGCTGCCTGTAAGGGAGAGTCTGCACCCACGCGGGGGCCTCTGGGTGGCTCACAGCTTGTGGGTCGGCGCGGGGTTCGGAGGGTCCTCCCAGAGTGCCCGGGCGGCCCCACGAGACTCTGTCTCCCAGAGTGCTCTTCGGGTCACCTGATGGGGTCGTTGCCTCCCACAGTGCCCCGCGGGCAGCCGGAGGCGGGACTCCATCTCCTAGAATGCTTTGCGGGTCCCTTGACAGGAGCGTCTCAGTCTCCCAGAATGCCCCACGGGCAGGCTGACCAGAACTCGGTCTCCCAGAGTGCCTCGCGGCCGGTTTTTGCCGTGGCTCCGACAACCTACCAACTGTCCTGGACTGGACGCCCCCGTCTCTCCCCGGTGCGGCGAGCGGCGTCGCGATGGACAGCCCTGAGGTGACCTTCACGCTGGCCTACCTGGTCTTCGCAGTGTGCTTCGTGTTCACGCCCAACGAGTTCTACTCGGCCGGCCTCACGGTGCAGAACCTGTTGTCGGGCTGGCTGGGCAGCGAGGACGCCGCTTTCGTGCCCTACCACCTTCGTCGCACTTCCGCCACGCTCCTGTGTCACTCACTGCTGCCGTTGGGTGAGCCTCCTGTGCGCGGGCCGGTGGTGGGCGCTTAACCGGGCGCTTGGAGACTCCAAGAGGGAGGAGGCTCCCCGCCGGAACCGGCGCAGATGCCGGCCAGTGCAGGTGCAAGCTAGCGGCATCCCTGCAGCCTAGGCTGTTAGCTGCGCGCTCTAGGGCGCCCTGTGCTCTTCCTGGTTGGGAGGCGGTGGCCCAGGCGCTGGCCTGAGAGTGATGCTCCGGCGGGGGGGCGGACTCCAGTCTTTGACATCCCTGTGCCTGGCGTTGCGATGTTGGGCGATTTCTAGGAAAGGGTTCCTGTTGACTCATTACAACAGGAGTCGGAGGGCTACCTGGCAAAGGTGGGTGTGGAGAGAGAGAGCAGGCCGAGATGAAGACGTTCAAGGTTGGGTACACTGATGCAGTCTTCTTAGCCAGGCTAGGTTTCTGGCCCTGTCCAAGGGAGTGGTCTGGGGCACCCCATGTGCTAGTGGAACCTCGGAGAGGTCCATATGTCAGCTGTTTGGAGGATGCATTAGGGGAACTGCTGGGATATAGCAATGATTGGAGGCTAGGAACCAGATGAGGGAGACCTCTGGAGGATACAGGGACACGGAAAGGCAGGTCTCGGAGAACAGAGGTCTGATGGCCTGCCAGATTTGCAGCTCTGGGCACAGGAATGGTTGGTGTGAGGATACAGCAGCCCAGGCTCCAGGGAAGTGGAGGCAGGTGTGGTAATAGAAGCACTCAGGCCTGTTGTGAGAGGAAGGTGGGTTGAGGAGAACTGGAGATGGAGCTGGCATGGCCACGTAGTTGTTTGGCTTGAGAACCTAGTGCCCTGTAAAGGAGATCAAGAAGGTGGAGCTCTGAGGCAGGACTCTTGACCAAGGTCTGTCCAGTGGGTTTTGGATGCCCCCTGGCTGTGCTCATCTCATGCCTGAACAAGGAACCCAAAGTTAGTAAGCACAAGTCAGTCATGGAGATTATATCGAGAGCAGACAGTAGAGCTGACTTTGGTTGCTACAGAACCATAACAAGTAATTTTGACATGTAAAGAGTTGGCTAAAAGTAAACATTTACTATTGGTTTTTGCAGATTGGAGCCTGCCCACATAGTACCTTACCATCTAATTTATAATCCGTTTTGATGTCTGAGTTCTTCCCTGTTGTGCCAACAGGGCCCTAAAACTGGTTCCATTGTTCTTACAACATGCCCTCTCATTGAGTACTTGCTTACTTTCTTGGACAGTGTCTCAGCTCTGAGATGGACTATGTTGGATCTGCCTCCTCAGAGGAGGCAAAATTCAGATACCAAGAAGTAGCCCAAAGAACTGCCTCAGGTACACCAGTGGTCAGTTCTATGCGTCATTGTGTTTCCTTTTGTTTTTATTGGGATGGGGGTGGTTCACCACAGGGTTTCTCTGTGTAACAACCCTGGCTGTCCTGGAACTCCCTTAGTAGACCACACTGGCTTTGAACTCATAGTCCTTTTGTTTTTCTTGGACTTTTTTGTTTTTGTTTTTTTTGAGACAGAGTTTCTTTGTCTAGGCTGGCTGTTCCAGAACTAGCTCTGTAGACCACCAGGCTGGCCTCAAACTCACAGAGATCTACCTGCCTCTCCCGAGTGCTTGGATTAAAGGCATGCGCTGCTACCGCCTAGCAACTTTGTTTGTTTGTTTGTTTGTTTTTCCTATTTGGCTGTTTCTGTGAAATTATAGTAGTAAATTGAAAACATTTTCCTTTAGTATGTGGTACCACTGCTGTGACTAAGGGCTGAGGCAGGCCCGCTGTGGAGGTGCAGGAGTAAGGACAGTATGTTCTGGGAGCTAACGATGTCCTAGCAGCTAAGGCAAGGATCAGGGCTGGCCAGCTCCATCTCCGTTCTCCAGTGGAGTCTCCTCAACCCACCTTCCTCTCAAAACAGGCCTGAGTGCTTCTATTACCACACCTGCCTCCATCACCCTGGAGCCTGGGCTGCTGTATCCTCAAACCAACCATTCCTATGCCCAGAGCTGCAAAAAAAGGAAGTAGCTCCTCCCTTCACCTAAACACAGGGATATCGTTGTGGTCTTCAGATGGGTCACCACGGGAGGAAGACGGCACCCGGCAGCCTGAACTTGCCCTGAGATGTCTTTTCTTCTGCAGGCTACTACATGGGCATGTGCTTTGCAGCTTCAGAGAAGCAGCTCTACTCCCCTGGCCAGGCCTCAGAGGCCTGGCAGCTCTTCCTTCTTCTGGCTGTGACCCTTCCCCTTGTCTCCTGTACCCTGATCTACTACTGGTCCTGGGACAAGTGGACCCGACACCCACTGGCCCAAACCCTGGCCCTCTATGCCCTTCCACAGTCAGGTTGGCAAGCGGTTGCCTCTTCCATCAACACAGAGTTCCGGCGGATCGACAAGTTTGCTACTGGGGCCCCTGGTGCTCGAGTGATTGTGACAGACACGTGGGTAATGAAGGTGACCACCTACCGTGTGCATGTGGCTCAGCAGCAGGATGTTCACTTGACTGTGACAGAGTCTCGGCAACATGATCTCTCACCAGACTCCAACCTACCTGTGCAGCTTCTTACCATCCGTGTGGCGAGCACCAGCCCCGCTCTGCAGTCCTTTGATATTCGGTAAGTGCGTGGTGGTTAGGAAGGGCACGAGACAGCCTGTCTGTACCTCAGGCACCTCTTAGGAGGTGCTGAGGGTGGGGGAGAACTGAGGCACTCCTGGCGCCTATATGACAACAGTCAATTGACCCCTTTAGCGCCATCTTCCTTCAAGGCCCCTCTTGCCTTACGCTTTCTCTTTGTTGCTCCTTCTGCTCTATCACCGAGCTGTCCCAACAGCTTCTTGAGATCCCCTAGGAATGTAGATTGGTGGCACCTCAGCTCCAGGCTCTTCCTATCCTCTCTACTGGGGATGAGTGACCACTGAGTCTGTGGACTCTGCCTTCAGGGCCATCTTCAGTGGCTACTTCACTGAGGTAGCTTGTTTTCCCTGGCCTTGCCTGCTTTTGGGTTTGGGTGGTTTTAGGTTCAAGGGCAGATTGGCTCAGCTCACCAAGCCATGCCTCTTCCAGACTGAACTCAGCGGAATATGGCGAACTATGTGAGAAGCTCCATGCCCCAATCCGAAGTGCAGCCAACGTGGTCATCCACCAGAGCCTGGGTGACCTCTTCCTAGAAACGTTTGCCTCCCTGGTGGAGGTCAACCCTGCCTATTCAGTGCCCAGCAACCAGGTGGGGGCTGGCCCAAGTGGGAGAGTGGGGGGGCACCCCTCCTCCTCCCAAGACCATCTTATAGGCCTTTTTGTGACCCCTTTTGTTACAACTATCTCTCTGTAGGAGCTTGAGGCCTGTATAGGCTGCATGCAGACACGGGCCAGTGTGAAGCTGGTGAAGACCTGCCAGGAGCCAGCGGTGGGCGAGTGCCAGCAGTGTTATTGCCGTCCCATGTGGTGTCTCACTTGCATGGGCAAGTGGTTTGCCAGCCGCCAGGATCCCCAGCGCCCTGACACTTGGCTGGCCAGCCGTGTGCCCTGCCCAACTTGCCGTGCCCGCTTCTGCATCCTGGATGTGTGTTGTGTACGCTGAGCATCACAGCATATTCTGTGTCTCCACTAGCCACTTACGAGGAGAGGCTAAAGCCCCTTGACCTTGGCGAAAGGTTCTAGTGAAAGCACACACTTATCTACAGCCACTCTCTGCCTTGAGTCTGTGGTAGGCTGAGGATTGTGATTTAGAAGAACTTCTAATGGAAATGCCCTATCTCATACCTTCAGCATCCTCTCTTCCTACTTACCTTCAGGTGGGGCTGATATTTCACACAGAATGCTCCAAAGCTTCAAGATGTTGGAGTTTGGCCTAAGAGCTTTCATTGGCCGGTTTGCCTTAATTCTATTACAGATCATATCTGCCCCTCAGAACACTGACAGTTACAAGCCAGACCTACATCTGTCCCAGGACCTGTGGTGTTGGGTGGACGCTGACATTTGAGAGGGGTGCCACTCCAGTGTAAAGTCCTTTTCTAGGGTATTCTGATGACTGCAGCCAGCCAAGGGACCACTTCTGGATAGGGAGGCAGGAGCAGCAACCTAGGGCCGGGCCAGCGTGCTCTCCCAAGTTCCTCATGAGGGTTGCATATGCTTTAGAGGGCCCACAGTGCTTTTGGTGTCTTCTCTTGCTTTAGTCCAGGGGAGGCCAAGATCTCACACCCCTGGCCCTAGGGAGGTAAGGTCCAGAGAGCCACAGCACTATCCAGAAAGAAACCCACCAGGGATTCGGCACAGAGTTAGCTAGGGCCCTTGTGGGTTGCTTGGATCAGGAGAGGGTACCTCAGTGGTTAAGGTTCTGATGGACATACTATTCACTTACCTATGGTGCAGATGGGAGGAGAAGAGGTTGCCCTTTACCCACCGTCTCTGACACAAGTAGCTGCTGGAGGGAGGACCTCTCTTTCAGCTTGTGGCCCTGAAGCTCCCACATTTGACTGTTTATAGCAGTAGTGACAGATCAAGCCAGCCCCTTACCCAGCCAGCACCACACCTAACTCCAGGGATTTCCTATCAGAGCAAGCCCAGTTCTGCCTGTCCCTGAAGTTTCAAGGCAGTTTCAAGGGCTGCCTAAGAAGAGGCCAAATGGTTTGAGGTTATTTTATTTTTTTTTTTTAACCACAGAGGAGTTAATTTTATAAAGATAAATGTAAACGTCGCCAAACGACTCAGTATTTAATAAAGTGTTACTTTCTAAGTGATGTACTTCATTTTGTTTACCTGGTAGTAAAACCAAATTTTTGCAACGTTTGGGGTTGTGGCTGGGGTGTGTTGGGAAAGTGAGATGAGTATAGTTGTAAACCAGCCATATTAGAAATTAGTGTCAGCCAGGCCGTGGTGGCTCTCGCCTTTAATCCCAGCACTCGGGAGGCAGAGGCAGGGGGATCTGTGAGTTCGAGGCCAGCCTGGTTTACAGAGCGAGTTCCAGGACAGGCTCCAAAGCTACAGAGAAACCCTGTCTCGAAAAAAAGAAAGAAAAAAATGTCAGTGTTAAGTTTGTCCCGAAGGGGAAACAGGACTAGCATTTCAGACACAGTGATCAATGGTTGGGCACAGTGCCCTTCGATGGCACCCGCCCCAATCCACTCTCTTTTGAGCTGCTCTGGGCCAGATCCACCCTTAAGGTAGTGTCGCGGCTGCCCACACAGTCTGCGACTAGAACAGGTCTGCAGAGGCCCGGTCCTCGTGCTAGTGACTCAAGCAGAGAGAACGGCACCAGAGACGGGGCAGACAGCCTTGGAGGGAAAAAGAGACCACTAAGTGTGCTGGCTCTTAAGCTATCACCGGTTCAGAGTTCGGAGTTTAAACTATGGGCGGGCGCTCAGGAAGTACTGTGGCGGTGGGCAGGAGGGACCAGTGCAGAGAAGGACTGGGTCTTCCGTATTCCGGCCCGGACCAGAGACGTGGCCACGCCCACCTATCTTGAGTGACACTGGCGCGCACTGCCCAGTCTCCCGCCAATACTCCTCGGGCCCGCGAAGACGCAACCAATCAGAGGCCCGGCAGAGACAGCGCCAGCCTGCTGGAAGCCCGACGGGGGTCGCCAATTCCTTTTCCCTTTGGTTGGGCTGCTACATTTTTCCCACCCTTCTGGGCAGCCGCATCAGGAGTTGGAGTTTGGCGACTGCCTGCAGTTCCGAGGCTTAGGTCCGAACCGGGTCCGCCAGCGGGGCGCGCAGAGCCGAGAAGGGCTCCCCTACAGGTGAACGTCCGATGGTTTCGTCCGACCCCGCGCGCGCGTGCGCGCGCGCGGGAGTTGCTGAGGGGCGGGGCCGCTGCGCACTTAAGGGCGGTTGGACTAGCCGAGCTCAGACCTCGTCAGCGCTGTCGCCGAGGGAGCTTCTCGCTGCTGAACCGGTCTTCAACCCTCTGCCGCCATGGCCTGCAGACCCAAAAGCCCACCCCGGTATGGGAGCGGCCGCGACGGCGTTGCAAGGTACGTGGGCCATGCGGTCTACAAGTCTTCCGTGTCTGGGTGGCTGTGAGGCAGGGGTCCACGAACCGCCCGTGCTTGCGGGACCCCGCCCACTGACCACCGTCTCTGTCCTCAGCCCGCGGTCCCCTGCGAGATGGAGCCTCGGACGGAAACGCCGAGCGGACGGAAGGGACCGGAAGCCCGAGGACTCCGAGGAAAGCGAGCGCCAGATTGCGGACCGTCGACCTGAAAGGTGGGCCCTGGCCGAGTGAAACGGGTTGGTCCCCCGGTGGGTCTGGAAGAGGGCCAAGGGACCCTCATCCCATTCCACTCGCTTCTTAGACGTTGGAATAAATTAGGTGACTCTGGATTCCCTTCATTTTTGTTCAGTCGAAGAAGCATCTTACCAGCGACTGATAGGTGGCAGCAAAACTGGTTTTATCCGGAGTGGAGGAGCCCTTATATTTTTCACGCATTATATCAGGCACTCCTACTTTGAACACCTTGTTAAAATGTTTCGACATTCCCCCCACGCTGTGTGTATGTGTGTGTGTGAGAGAGGGAGGGAGGGAGAAATTCGATTTTATTATCTGAGTGAAAGCCAGATGCAAGCCAAAGTTGAATTCCCGGGTCACTCATCCTTAGTCATGTTCATGGGTCCCTTCCATCTGATAAACGTTTGCCACAGTGTTGAGGTTTGTTTTTTGTTTGTTTGTTTTTTAAGGTGAGGCACCATGCTGAAGTCATAGGTGAAATTTTTTTTCTTTAGTTGAGGCAGTGTGCTGAAGTCAATGAGGTCTCTTGGTAGCCTCACAGAGGTGTGCCAGCAAGTGAAATAGTCATTCAGAGAGACCAGGAGTGTCTGAAGAGTAAGCTGGTGATGTGGGATGCTCAAGGAAGTGCTCTCTGGGACCTTTGTGTAGTGACTGATGAAGAGGAAAGTGATTTCAGAATTTTTTGACCATGCCTCTTTCTGTGGGGATATGTGGCCTGCTAGGAGGCTGACTAGAAGGGAAGATAAGGACAGAGCTGCCAAGCCCAGTGAAGGTGGTTGAATTCAGACTTGTAAATACACAGGCAATGCTGACTGAAGATCAAAAAGTCAGACTGATTTGAACCCTTGGCCATCTCTGATTAAAGTCAGTCCCTATGGTAGCTGCGGCAGTGGGTGGGCAGATCTCTTTTGGGAGGGAATCTGCTTAAGTTTGGGGAGGCTGTCAAGTGCAAATGTGAGTTACCAGCACATATTTGAAAACCTTGGACTAGTTATGGGAGTATAGGGGAGGCCAGAGGCCAGCCCTAAGGAGGTCAAAGGGAAGGTGCTATTGTATGTATCAGTAATCCCAGTAGTGCTCAGGAGTTAAAAGCAAGGATCAGGAGTCCAAGGGCTTTCTTTGCTACATCGTGAATTTGAGATTAGCCTGGGCTTTCTTGTCTCAATGAAAACAGAAAACCAAAACTAACCAAACAGAAAACCTAATTGAGGTGAATGAAGATTTGAACCCTGTCCGTGGTCTCAGTTATCTGAAGATAAAATGTTAGGTCTTTTATTTTATTTTATTTTTTAAGGATGGGGCTGTCCTGGATCTCACTAGGTAGACCAGGCTGGCCTTGAACTCAGGTCCACCTGCCTCTCAAATGTTGAGATTAAAGGCATGTGTTACTATGCCAGGCTAGATTTATTTATTTTTATGTGTATGAGTGTTTTTTTGTCTGTATATAAGTGTACCACATGTGTGCCTAGTGCTTGTAGAGAAGAGGGCATTGGGTTTATAGGTGATTGTGAGTTGCCATGTGAGTCCTGAACACATATCCTCTGTAAGAACGACAACCATTTTTGTTGTTGTTGAACCAGTGGGCTTTATTTTGGGGTTACTTAGAGGAATATGGGGAAGTAGTTGATTACTGGAGCACAGGGCACTCTCCAAAATCGGCATGGGATACGGCAGAAGAACACAGGACACCTGGAGCTCACTGCACACCTGTAAGCATATCTACAAGTTAAAGAACATCCTATCTAGGTGGATCATTTTGTCAATCCTCTTCAAGCAGTATGATAGAGTTTCTTATTTTAAAAAGCATTCTTAATTGCTGAGATATCTCTCCCGCCTGCCTCTGCCTCCTGAGTGCTGAGATAAAGGCATATGCCACCACTACCTGGCTTCATGTGGGTTATCTTGTCCAAAGATTTCTTTGAGATGAAACTAAGCCCTTTGAATAGATTTAACTCAAGTATAGTTGTATACTTTTGTTTTGTTTTGTTTTGTTTTTCGAGACAGGGTTTCTCTGTGTAGCTTTGTGCCTTTCCTGGAACTCACTCTGCAGTCCAGGCTGGCCTCGAACTCAGAGATCCACCTGGCTCTGCCTCCCGAGTGCTGGGATTAAAGGCGTGCCCGCCACCGCTGCCGCCGCCACCTGGCATTAGGGGTACACTTTTAAGGTAGACTTTTTTGTTTTGTTTTGTTTTTGAGACAGATTTTTCTTTGTGTAGTCTTGACTGTCCTGGAACTAGCTCTGTAGAACAGGTTGGCCTCAAACTCAAAGAGATTCACCTGCCTCTGCCTCCTGAGTGCTGGGATTAAAGGCGTGAGCTACCACCCCCCAGCTTGGTAGACTAATTCTTAGTGAAATAAAAGTTAAAACTGCCAGGCGGTGGTGGCGCACGCCTTTAATCCCAGCACTTGGGAGGCAGAGGCAGGCCTGGTCTCCAAAGCGAGTTCCAGGAAAGGCGCAAAGCTACACAGAGAAACCGTCTCGGAAAACCAAAAAAAAAAAGTTAAAACTGCCAGATGTGTCAGCACATGCCTTAAATTCCACCACCTGGAAGGTAGAGGGAGAAGGCTCTGAGTTCAAAGCCAGCCTGGTCTGTATAGTGAGATCCTGTCTCAAAAACAAGAAAAAAAATGTATCCACAAGACTCATAGTCTCACCTTTTTCCACATTGTGATTGTGATGCCTATTACTACATGTTGTGAGTCTTGTGCATCTGAAAGGTAAACCTCATCTGTTCTATTGGATTCTCATTGTGGGTTGGTCACAGTGTTTGACCCTATTCATTTTATTATTTGGAGTCTTAAAAATCTATAATATGGGCTGGAGTGATGGCTCAGAGGTTAAGAGCACAGGCTGCTTCTTCCAGAGGTCCTGAGTTTAATTCCCAGCAACCACATGGTGGCTCACAACCATCTGTAATGAAATCTGATGCCCTCTTGTGGCATGCAGGGAGAACACTGTATACATAATAATAGATAAATAAATATTTTTTAAAAAAGTCCTAGAATACCTTGTGTTACAGCTAGCATGGTCAAAGCCAGGTATAATGGCTAACATCTGTATTCCCAACACTTATGCAGTAGCTGAGGCAGGAGCGCTTTCAAGACTATATGGTGAGACTGTTTCAAAACATAAAGCCAAGTTCCATATTAGGTATTCTTCATGGTACTGACAATATTTTACTTCCCCTGCCTTCTCAGTAGACTGTTCCCATAATCTAGCACTGATTCATAGTAGGTAGATAGTTGTCTAATGATGTCTAGAAGACTTTGAGAGATTGCTTAAACTCACCTGTTTCTTTGGCATTCTGCCAAAACAGTGTTATTCTTTCTTCAAAAAACTGAGATGAAGCACTCATTGAAATGCATTTTCCCTTTATTGTAGCTTTACAACTCCTGAAGGCCCTAAGCCCCGTTCTAGATGTTCTGACTGGGCAAGTGCAGTTGAAGAAGATGAAATGAGGACCAGAGTTAACAAAGAGATTGCAAGGTACACACTTTATAATAGTTTGTGTGTGGTTTTCAATTGCTGTATTCACAGAATGTCTTAGAATAATGGTTCTTATCCGGGCAGTGGTGGCACATGCCTTTAATTGCAGCACTTGGGAGGCGGAGGCAGGTGGGTCTCTGTGAGTTTGGCAGCCTGGTCTATAGAGTGAGTTCCTGGACAACCAGGGCTACACAAAGAAATCTTGTCTCAAAAAAACAAAATAAATAAATGAATAAATATGAAGAAGAATGGTTCTTAAAAATCTGTTCTTTTGCCGAGCGGTGGTGGTGCACGCCTTTAATCCCAGCACTCGGGAGGCAGAGCCAGGCAGATCTCTTTGAGTTCGAGGCCAGCCTGGGCTACCAAGTGAGCTCCAGGAAAGGCGCAAAGCTACGCAGAGAAACCCTGTCTCGAAAAACCAAAAAGAAAAGGAAAAAAAAAAAATCTGTTCTTTAGGGATTGGGATTGCCGCTCAGTGGTAATGAGTTTACATAGCATGAGAAAGCCCTGAGTTTATTGATCCCTGTACAACCAAAAAGGGAAAGATCTAGTCCTTAGGCTAGCATCAGTGTCTCTTGGGAACTTGTTAGAAATACACATTTGCAGGCTCCTTGACCCACTGATGAGTAGGGCCCAGGTATTTTGTAAGATGCTCTTCTAACTGAGTGCTTCCTGGTTTGAGAACCACTGTTTTAGTGGAAATCGGAGGGTGGGTGCTTGATTGCAGTGATGGGGGCTTTCTTTTCATGTTAATGTGTGGGTGTGGGTGTGGGAGAGAGCACAAGTGCATGCACACATGCAGCTGTATGTCGGGATCAGAGGTTGCCATCAGGTGTCTCCCTCCAATTGCTCTCTAACAATTTGAGTCTCTTACTGAACTAAACTTGCTAATTTGGTTATTTTACCTAGCCATTTAGCCTGGGGATCCCATGTAACTGCACTGGAATTAGGGATGGACCACCACACCCACTCGGGATTTTATTTGGGTGGTACAGATCCAAATTCTGGTCTTTACATTTATGTGGGGGGAAAAACAACTCTTCATCCATGGATTTAGCTCACCAATTCTAAAAGGTTTTTATTTTTTGTTTTTGGCAATGCTGGGGGTTGAATCCAGGGTCTTGGGTATGCTCTCCCACAAGAGTACTTATTTTAGTTGGTTGGAGTGAAGAAGCCAGTTCAAATCAGTCCATATTGTTACCCATAGCAGCCTGAGGGGTTGCCTTGTCTTTTAGACACCATTACTCAGGTAAAACCAGATCCCTGGCTTTGCCAGAGAAAAGAATTTCAGGATGAGCCAGTATGACACAGAGTTGGAGGTTATTAAAAACATTCTAACATAGATTTTAAGCACAGGGGTTACTAGAAAGAGATGATGGGGAAGGAAGAAAATACTTCCGAGTTTGGATATTTCAATTGATAGTGTAAAACTAAATGGCGGGGTGGCTCAGTGGATGGAATATTTGCACAAGAATGAAGCCTGGAGTTGGGATTTCTAGCACTTGCATAAAAGCTGGGTGGGCACAGTGGCTTGCCCATGATCCCATAACACTTGGGAAGCAGAAATGGAATTGCTAGTGGCAAGCTGGTTAGACTAACCAGATCAAGGCCAGCAAATGGCTCTGTAAGGAAGGACACTTGCCTCCTAATGACCTAAGTTCAATTCCTGGGAAATAGCTCCTACAAGTAGTAGACTAGGTGAACTATGAGCTCTGGGTTCATGGAGAGACCTTGCCTCAGTAAAATAGAAAGTGCCTTTGAAAGACAGTTGATAGACTCTCTGGCTTAGTCTTATTTTTAAGGCTCCCAGAAAATAACTGGGTGTAGTTGCATACACCTTTAACCCAGCAGCCAGTCTGCTCTATATAGTAAGTTCCAGGATAGCCAGGGCTACACCTAGAAGCCCTGTCACCCCCCCCCCCCCAAAAAAAAAATATCTGGAAGAGTGAGAACCTACCGAAGGCTGTAGCACATAAGACATAATCCCAATTTTTTCCTCCCCTACCCCCCACAAGGTTTTCCCTTAAACTTCTGATCCTCTTGCCTCCACCTCCAGTCATGGAACCATGCCCTAATTATGTGGAGCTCGGAAATTCAAGGCTTTATGCATGCTAAGCAAGCACTTTCCAACTAACCTAGAACTCCAGGCACTTTTTTGGGGGAGTGGGGGAGTTTTGGGTTTTTTTGAGACAGGATTTCTCTGTAGACCAGGCTAGCCTCAAACTCAGAGACCTGCCTGCCTCTTCCGAGTGATGGTATTCAAGGCATGTGCCACCACACCCAGCAATCTTCAGTCACTTTTTAAACCAACCCCCCATACATACACACACACACACACACACACACACACACACACACACACACACACACACACACACACACACACGGTTTCTCTAACAGCCCTGGCTGTCCTGGAACTCTCCCCTCCTCTGTAAACCAGGCTGGCCTCGAACTCACAGAGATCCCTCTGTCTCTGCATTCACCGTCACACCCAGCATTTAAAAGATTTTTTTGAGACAAGATTTCACTATGTCAACTAGGCTGGCCTCAAACTTTGAGGTACTCCAAATTTCCCTTGATTTTGTTACCTGCTTTTTTGTTGTTTGTGTTTTTGGTCTTTTTCTTTTCATACATGCTGTCTCAAATCAAATAGACTGAGTTAATGAATGTAAACCAAGTAGCTAGGAGATCAGATAGGATTTGTTAGCCAATTCTGCAGCAAGGCTTCCTGTCTCCATCTTGGCATTAGATGATGATTGGGTTTTGCTAGCCACTTTGTTAAGATTTCTTAGGACCCAGGGAAGCTCTGCATAGGGTGGTGTACCTGAGAGTGTAAGACAATGTTTTTTTTTATTCAGGTTGCTTTAAACAACAGACTAGGCTCTTGACAAATAATTTATCTTCTGAAATGATGTAACTGAGAGATGTTGAAAATTGACCAGCTGGCATCAAAGCCAGACTAGGCAACTTAGACTTTATCTTTAAGAAAAAAAAGAAAAGAAAAAAGGCAAGACTAAAATAGAGCTTAGTAAAGTGTTTGCCTTGCATGTAGGACATGAGTTAGGGCCCCAGAACCCATGTAAAGAAGCCATGTGAGGTGTTGTATGCTTCTAATACTAGGGAGGCAGAGGTAGGAAGGTCCCTGAAGTTGCTGGCCACTTAGTCTAGATGAATTGGCAAGCCCTAGCCCCTCAGAAAGAGACCTTGTGCCAAAAACAAAGTGGGATGGCTCTGAGGAATGATATATGAAGTTTTTATAGCCTCCATGAGCATACACACGCATGAGCACACACTTAGACACAGGAAAGGACAGACATTTTTGGAACTTTTTTTTTTTTTTGAATGTCAGGATTAAAATTTACCTGGAACATAAATTGCAAAGGAATAGACTCAAAGAAATAATGCTGGGGGCTGGAGAGATGGCTCAGAGGTTAAGAACACTGGCTGCTCTTCCAGAGGTCCTGAGTTCAATTCCCAGCAACCACATGGTGGCTTACAACCATCTATAATGAGATCTGATGCCCTCTTCTGGCCTGCACACATACATATAGGCAGAATACTGTATACGTAATTAAGAAAAGAAAAAAGAAACAATGCTGGGCTAGTGAGATGGTTCAGTAGGTAAAATTTGTGTTTAAGCCTGATGACCTAAGTTTGACTCCCAGCTCTCAGATAATGAAAAGAGAATTGGCTCTCACAAGTTGTCGTCTGACCTCTGCACGTGTGCTGTGGCATGCATGTACAAACACAGTCTTTTTAATTTTTTTTTTTTAGATGGGGCTAAAGTGATAGCTCAGTGGTTAAGAGCGCTTAATGCTCTTGCAGAGGACCAAGGTTTGGTTTCTAACACCCATATGGAGGCTCACAGCTGTTGGTAGCTCATAAATCTTTTGCATATGGATGTTTTGCCTGTGTGTATGTCTGTGTGTCCTATGTATGTGTCTCGTATCTATAGAAGCCAGAGGAGGGCATCAGATCTCCCTTGTGCCTGGAGTTAGCCACCATATGGGTACTGGGAATAGAACCTAGGTCCTCTGGAAGAGTAGCCAAGTGATCTTAGCTGCTGAGCCATGCATTATCTCCAACCCAAAAAACCATGTTTTTAGAAATTAAAAGAAAAAAGTAGTTCATCTCCTATTCTAATCCAACCCTTCAAAGTTTTTAGTCAGGGGCTAATATAATAAGCCCAGGCTAACCTCAGACTCAACATTGTTCCATTCCCAAATCATGCTACTCAGGAAAAAGGCTTCGTTCTTGCTTTGGAAGCACTATTTTTTTGTTTTTATGTATTTTATCCTTTTAAAAACAGAATTTTTTTTTTTTTTCTCAGATACAAGAGAAAACTACTCATAAATGACTTTGGAAGAGAAAGGAAATCTTCATCAGGAAGGTATATACTGAAACATTTCTAATTTGTTAATGAAAATTTTGAGGGGATTGTTCCAGTAGCATTTATTAGTTATTTGTTCTTCATTGTGTGTACTGGAAATTCCTATAGTATAGACTGGGTTTTCGTGGATTCATATCATTTGAAATTGAGAGGGGAACTCTTGCAGTGTTTTCTTGGCACACAGTGATCTTAAATCCAAGATTTGTTGATCTTTCATTATTTTCAGTTCTGATTCAAAGGAGTCTATGTCTTCAGTACCAGCTGATGTGGAGACGGATGAAAGTGTCTTAATGAGAAGACAGAAGCAGATCAACTATGGGAAGAACACTATTGCCTATGACCGATATATTAAAGAGGTTCCCAGGTAGTATTGTCACATACGTCTGTCTTAGTCCTGCCCAACAGCATTGTATCTGTTAAGGAGTTGCTTATATTAGACATACCTTCTAGGAAGTGTTTATTAGTGACTCATAAGAACTTAAGTAGTCATTTTCATAGCTTTGACTATTAGAGAGCATTTTATCCTCAGGACTTAAAAATATATGGTATGGTTTTATAAAGTATGTAGTTAAGAATGTAAGTGTTTAATTGGAGAGCTGGGTGTGCTGGTATATGCCCTTTTTTTTGCTCATCCTATAGAATCTCAGTTACTACTGGGTGTGGTGGTGCATGCCCCAAAGTGTGTTGAGTCTTTTAGCTCTGTGCAGATGTGAATGGCTTGTACTGAGGCAATCTTATGTCCTCCAGACACCTGCGACAACCTGGAATCCATCCTAGGACCCCCAACAAATTTAAGAAGTATAGCCGGCGATCATGGGATCAACAGATCAAACTCTGGAAAGTGGCTCTGCATTTTTGGGATCCTCCTGCTGAAGAAGGATGTGATTTGCAAGAAATGTATGTCTTTGTTGCTTTCTTTTTCTCTGTCACAGTGAAGGATTATCCTGAAAGCTATCGAGAACAGACACACTAGCCTTTAGGCCTCGTTATATTGCACAGGGTTGTGGATGCCAGGGAAGAACTCACTCCTTGTGCTGGATTCAGTCTTCTGGAGCTAGAAAACGTAGAGGACAACCTTGGGTGTCAATCTTTTCTACATTGTTTGAGACAGGGTATCATGTTTTGTTATGTTTGTTACTGTGTAGGCCAAGTGGCCTGTGAGCTTTCTTTGATGTGAGTTCTGGGAATCCAGAATTAGGACATTATACGTACAAAGGCATTTCCCACTGAGCCATCTCCCCAACCCTATTTGACGGGTTTTGGTTTGGATTTTTGAGATAGGGTCTCTGTGTAGTCCTATCTGTCCTAGAGCTTGAGGTTAGACCAGGTGGGCCTGAGTGCTGGGATTAAAGGTGTGCACCACCATGGCCTGCCCCCTTTTTGATTCTGAAAGGGTCTTAGGTAGTCCAGGGCCCTCATGCTGGGCAGTACTCTACAGACTGAGCCACATCCCTAGCTGTTTGTTTGTTTTTCAAGACAAGGTTTCTCTGTAGCTTTGCACCTTTCTTGGATCTGGCTCTGTAGACCAGGCTGGTCTCGAACTCACAAAGATCCGCCTGCCTGTGCCTCCCAAGTGCGCCACCACTGCCCGGCTTTGATTAAGGTCTTAACTCTGTGGCACAGGCTCAACTTGAAGTTCTGCCTTAGAAGATATTGAGGTACTACCATATTTGGCTTAATAGCATTCCATTCCGTTAATCTCAGAAGAAAATTGGTCTTGTTACTGCTTTGCAAGAATGTTTACAGGGTCAGAAGTGAGTTCCAGGACAACCAGAGCTACATAGAGAAACTTTGTCTCAAAAACAAAACAAAACAGGATATTTACAGGTGTGTATGAATGACAGCACAGATTGTCCGATTCTGATCTTCTGTGAGCCTGGCAGGTTTTCACTTGTAGTTGCTGTCAGCTTTCTATGTTGGGTTTATTGGTTAGAATTAAATTTTGGCAAATGTGTGAAAGCTGACCTTGGGGACAACACACACTGTGATGTGGGTGGTGTTTGGTTTTAGTGAACAAACTTAGAAATTCTCCTCTTCTGATGGTAGCAGGTGACTGACATGCTTATTCAATTTCATTTCTCAGACAACCTGTAGATCTTGGGGAAATGGAAACAGAATTCACAGAAAGCAGCTCCGAGTCCCAGACAAGTTCACAGGATAACTTTGTAAGTACTTCCTTTGGTTCTGTCTCTCAGCTTGGGTGTTTTAAATCACTTGAGAATATACCACTTTACATACTGAGGTTAGAACTGAAGTTGGATTATAATGTTTATGAAAGGGGGACTTTTTCCCATCAAGAAATACCAAGTTGATCACAGATTGGGTTCTGAGCATTTGAGCTCAGTTTGGGCTTTTGGTTCATTCTACCTTTAATCTCCACTTTTAGTGAACTGCTGGTGCAGGGATCATCTCCTGAGTGCTTATGTAGGGAATAATTGTTGGTTTGTTTTGTTTTTATTTGAGACAGGATCTCTCTTTTATACTTCTGGCTGTCCTGGAGCTCACTATGTAGACTAGGCTGGTCTTCACCTCGCAGAGGTCCTCCTGTTGCTGCCTTCTGTGTGCTGAGATTTGTTTGGCCTGAGAAATAATTTTTAAAGTTTCATACTTTAAAGCTAGTTGTGATATTGTGTGCCTGTAACCTCGGCCCTTGTGAGGTAGAGGCAGGAAGATCAGAGATTGAAGACTAGCCTGGACTACACAAGATCCTATTTCAAAAACGATGGGTTAGCCAGGCAGTGGTGGCACACACCCTTAATCCCAGCATTTAGGAGGGAGGTGGAGGCAAGTTGATCTCTGAGTTCGAGGTTAACCTGGTCTACAGCAAGAGTTCCAGGACAGCCAGGGCTGTACACAGAGAAACCCTGTCTTAAAAAAACAAAACAAAACCAGGGTTAGAGAGATGGCTCAGCAGTTAAGAGCACTGGCTGCTCTTCCAAAGGACTCAGGTTCAATTCCCAGCGCCCTCATGGCAGCTTAAAACTGTCTGTAATCTCCAGTTCCAGGGGATCTGATACCTTCACACCAATGCATATAACATAAAGTTAAATAAATTTAAAAAAGAATAAACAAAAACAAAACCTATGGGTTATGACTGGAGGTGAGGGTAGGAGGGTGGAGTATTTCAATCCTAGCATTTAGGAGGCAGAGGCATGTGGCATGTGGCCAGCCTGGTCTGTAGCAAATGTCAGGCTACCAGGACTACACAGTGAGGGTCCCCCTCCCCTACCCCCAATAAACTGAGCTATACTGAAATTTTGCCTTATCTCTGATTTCAGTAGTTAATGACCTGGTACAATATTCAGATCTGTCTGTATTTGTACGATTTACGATAAAAAGATCTCTTTATTTTGTGGACCTTCCTTTGATTATATATGTAAATTCCTAGGATCTGAAGTGGCAAAACTTCAGTTTTGAAGTGACTCAACTATCATAAGTTATTACAAAGCTGTTCTTATGAAAATATAAACAAAAATCCATTGCCTTATCCTGACTCTCAGCTGTGCCACTCCAGGTACACTCAGATTTATTGATCTTTTTCCCACCATACAATGTGGTGACAAACTGGAAGTGTACCTACAGAAACAGCAAAATGATGCTGGTTTTCTTTGCTTTGTCTTGCTGCTAGGCAAGCCCACTTGTGCTCGGGGTAACTTAAGAGGAAGCCCATGTGATCAGTTGATGTAGGTGTGACTGTCTCTGTTTTCTAGGATATGTACGCTGGCACACCCACCAAAGTCAGACATGTAGACTGCCAAGTGGAGGATGAGTTTGATTTGGACGCTTGTTTAACTGAACCCTTGAAAGACTTCTCTGCCATGAGTTAACTGCCACCTGGTGGCAACTCTCGGAAATACTTGGCTCTGCCTAGCCATCTGCAAAGCTGGTTAAGCATGGGCTGCTGTGCATTTGTATTTTTTTTTTCTCTGTTAAGAGTTTATTTTCTCATGATAAATTGTTTTTCTTGCCTTATTTTATGTATGGTGAGTGTTACACATGTTTTAAGTTGTAAATGAAGCCAAACCTGGTGAAGACTGAACCCTATTGTCCACCCTCCTGCGCCCCCAAGTTAGACAACAGGATACTTGTAGTTTTCCACGAGAACTTGAGGCTTCAGTTGCCACTTTTCAGATGGGTTGGCGGTGGATTTTAACCATTTGTTTATGGGACCAATCCAGAGTCAGCTGTCTTTCTAGGTAACTGATTGAGTATTCTCTCAGTCAGGCAGCTCCAGTGACTTTGTAAAAACTTATTTTCTGGTCTTTTATCAATGTGAATGTAGTTTTCTCTCATACAGAGCTCTGAACAAAAATGTTAAGCTGTTATATTAATGGGCTTTATGTAAGTTATATAGTGTTAATTTGGAACTTGGAATAGCACTAGTGTGAGGTAGGATCTTAGCATGTGCTCTGAGAATTGAGGCAGAAGAGAGGGATTTAGAACTTTTTTTTTAATGATCAGTTAATTTACCATGTAATATTGCTGTAAATGATAATGTGTACAGATACTCTGTTCATGTATTCAATTGTAAACTTGTCGATATTTGCATTTCTATTGCTTTTGTATGGGATGTTAATTGCAAAAATAAAAGATGTTTTAACTGATTTGTAACATTGCCCTATACTGTGGAGGGGAGGGTCAGAGCTTTCTTTTGCACCTGAAGCACTTGCATGGCATACGGGAGGGAATGGCATCTTCTTTTGGTGAGAGAACCATGCCCAGATCTGGTGGGCAGTGGTAAGCACAGACACTACTGACCTTTTAAGTCCCCACCCATTCCATCTTTAAGGGGACCTTGATAAGTTTGCTGCTCTGGCATGGGACCTGGTTACATGTCAGTTTAGATCCCTGCTGTGGGATGTTCTGTATGTTAAATGTGTTGCTCTGATTGGTTAATAAAACACTGGCCAGTAGCCAGGCAGGAAGTATAGGCAGGACAAGGAGAGAGGAGAATTCTGGGAAGTGGAAGGCTGAGGCAGATAGATGCTGCCAGCCACGGCCATGAGAAGATGTTAAGATACCGGTAAGCCACAAACGACATGATAACTTATAGATTAATAGAAATGGGTTGATGTAAGATAAAGAACAGTTAGCAAGAAGCCTGCCACGGCCATACAGTTTATAAGAGATATAAGCCTCTGTGTGTTTACTTGGTTGGATTTGAGCAGCTGCAGGACTGGCGGGTGAGAGCTTTGTCCTGACCCTGGACCAGGCAGGACCAGGAAAACGCTAGCTACAGATCCCAACCATTCTCATGTGCCTTTCCGAAGAAGCCAGCATGCTATCTGACCTATGTTCAGTTCTTACTCGTGTGCATTTGTGGTGTTAGGATGGTTAGGGTTTCAGTTGCTGTGAAAAGACTCCATGACCATGCAACTCCTACAAGGAAAACATTTCATTGGGGATGGCTTACAGTTACAGAGGTTTAGTTTATTATCATGGTGGGAAACATGATGGCATGCAGGCAGGCGTGGTCCTGGAGAAGGAGCTGAGAGTTCTAAGTCTTAATCTGCAGGCAACAGGGAGTGAACTACCATACTGAGCATAGCTTGAGCAATGGAGACCTCGAAGCCCACCCCCAGGGTTCACACTTCCTCCATCAAGGCCACACCTACTCTAACAAAGCCCCACCTAATAGTGCAGCTCCCTTTGGGAGCCATTTTCTTTTCAAGCCACAAGGACTCTTCCATGTCTCCTGTGTTAAATCCTGGTCAAACTAAACACTGGGCCCTGGCGTCTCTGGACATTAACCCAAAACCATGACCACATGTATATTCATGTAAATTCAACTATATTGAAAGTGATGATGGACTTGCCACGAGCAAGAGGTGGGTAGCACAGGCAGCTTCCTTCAAGGTGTTTCCAAAGGACAATTAATTGCCTTTGTATACTTGACATCTGTCTACCTATAGCCACAGTAGATGGCCCTGAAGGCTGTATTATTATAGTGGGTGCTTAGTGGTCAGGTTGAGATAAGTGAGGAGGGTGAGGTAGGGATCTGCCACTTTTTCAGGGAGCCTAGAGATGGCCTGATAGGTGGCATTTGAGTCATGCCGTGAAGGGCAGCAAGTACAAAGGCCCTGAGGTAGAGGTATGGATACATTGTAAGAGCCTAAAATGTGGAGGCTAGGAGGTCTTGGAACAGCTGGTGAGAGCTGCAGGAGACAGAAAGCTGCTCTTGCCCCTGCTTCCCTTGTGCTGGATAATGCTGGGTGATACAGATAAGCAGCTGTCTGCGTTGTGTGTGTGTGTGGGTGTGTGTGTGGGGGGGCAGTACCTCCTGGTTTCTGCTCTAGATAAAATGCTTACTGAGAAGTTCAAAGCAGGCCTGTTGAACCCACAGAGTGGGATTTGAGTAACTTTTCCTTTCCTGATGGCAAACAGTGCTAAAATTAAGCACATTCTAGAATACAGATTTTCTAGTAAAGGTAAGGATTGTGGCTTTTTTTTTTTTTTTTTTTTTTTTTTCCGTTTTTCGAGACAGGGTTTCTCTGTGTAGCTTTGCGCCTTTCCTGGGACTCACTTGGTAGTCCAGGCTGGCCTCGAACTCACAGAGATCCGCCTGGCTCTGCCTCCCGAGTGCTGGGATTAAAGGCGTGCGCCACCACCGCCCGGCCGGATTGTGGCTTTAAGACTGAGAAAGTTAAGAACTCTAAACCATAGTGCTGCTGATCTTACAAACCTGTTTGTTTCCCAACAGAAGCCCAAAAAAGAGGGCATCTTTTCAAGAGCACATACATGTACTCACAAAGCTAAAATAGTTCTTTTTTTGAAAGTTTAGCAGGAAAGGCGCAAAGCTACATAGAGAAACCCTGTCTTAAAAAACAAAAAAAAAAAAAAAAAAAAAAGAAAAAAGAAAGTTTAGCAGAAACATGATAGGCTGAACAGGAATGGGTAGTGGAAGTAAAATAGCCTTTTTGGGCCCATAGGATCTTGCAAACAGGAAGCAGGTTCAAGAATCCAGTGGCATGCTGGGCAAAGTGGTGCACACACTTTTAATCCCAGCACTCAGGAGGCAGAGGCAGGTGGATCTCTGAGTTTGAGGCCAGCCTGACCTACAGATCGAGTTCCAGGACAGCCAGGACTACACAGAGAAACCCTGTCTTGAAAAACAAAAACAAACAAACAAACAAAATCCAGAGGCACACAGGTTATTCTCCATGGACCAGAAGGATAATTTTGAGGGTGAACCCAACAACCTAGAAGGCAAAGCCAGGAGCCTAGAATCTGGCCCTTGGGGAAGAGATGAGACCTACTTGGGACTGCTTACATGGCATGTGCTGATGGGATTTCAAGCATTGCTGTGGACTGACCACCAGACAGCATGTCGTCTTCTAGTATGCAAGCTGCAGATGGTGGAGGCAGGTAGGCTTTGATCGGGTTTCCACCTGGCAGAGGGTCACAGCAGTTCATACCCATGACTTGCTGCATTCCCACCTGGTGACTAGCAAGCCTCAGCAGTGTGATACCTGATTTGCTCTGAGTAGGATGAGAAACCAGGGAAGCCTGGATCCAGGGCAGGATTCAGACTCAGGTTTAGCAGTAGCTGAAGCTACTAGACTTTGCCATAAATTCTAAAAATGCTTTTTTTTGTGGGGGAAGGCAGGATCTCCCTAGATAGCTCTGGCTGGTCTGGGATCTTACTCCATAGACCAGGTTGACCTCAAACTTGCAGCCATCTGCCTCCATAAAGGGCACGGCTCTACGTCTGACTCTAAATTTTTCAAATGCTCTTCCTAGCAAGAAAACCAATCTTCAGACTTCAGGTCTTGCCTCTCAATGCTGGTAATATAGTCAGTCTAGTATTTTTCTATATGAACTGCTATTTGAGTAACCAGTAAGCTAGGGACTGAATTACGTTTTTAATTTATTTGTGTATGTGTATACTGAAAATATGTGCCATTGTGTGCTTGTGGAGGTCAGGAAAAACCTTTCAGGAGTTGGTTCTCTCCATCCACTCTGGAGTCTGGGGATAGAATGGACTGAGGTCATCAGGCCTGAGCAGCAAGTGCTGTTACCGGCTGAGCCATCTCCCTGGCCCTAGTTGTCTTGACTCTTCAACATAGAGCCAAGAAATGTCAGAACTAAATTAAGTTGGTCCCAGCATGATTAATTCTTCACAATCCCAGGCTGATTGCTATCTCGTCTCTCTCTGTGTCTCGGGGTAGATGGGTCAGCTTATCGGGGTTGTCATCCCACAGCCTCTGGCTGGCTTTCTTTGTTGTGAAGCTGTCCTTGTTTCTGGCTGCTGTCAGGATCCTGTCTTTTTAGCAGCTGCTGAATTGCTAACTTCTTTGTCTCTTTGGTGGGAAGCTGTCAGTCGAGACTTCTAGGTGAGTTGTTAACTCTGCTGGATCCTAAGGAGTTTCTGAGCTCTGGGCAGCTCTTCTGATGAGCTCATGGGGCCCAGGGCCAGTCCCCCCTCCATCCATCATGGGCAGCTCTAACCGGTCTATGGGACAGTCATATTATAACTGGGCAAATGACATCCCTTGTAAATTGGCATGTGGGCTTGTCTACTTTGAATCTGCACTGGTGCAATCTGCATAACTCAATATATTTAAGAATGTTGAGGTTTTTTTTCTTTGCTATTGTTTTAAACTTTTGTTACTTCAGGTGTATGGGTGTTTTGCCTGCATGCATGTGTACCATATGGAGGTCAGAAGAGGGCATCAGATCCCCTGAAATTGGAGTTAGAGATGGTTGTGAGCTGCCAAGTGGGTACTAGGAACTAACTTGGATCCTCTGCAAGAGCAGCCACTGCTCTTAACTGTTAAGAGCTATCTTTCCAGCTCCCACTGTTTGATTTTTAATATGTAGACTTTAGACATAAGCCACTTTATAAAAGTCATACTTCAAAGATGCATAAGAGAGCTGGCCATAGCCGTATATGTCTGTAATCCCAGTACTTGGGAGGTGGAGGCAGGAGAACCCAGAGATCAGGAGGTCTAGGTCAGTTTCAGATACACGAGACCCTATCTCAATAAAACACAACAACAAAGATGCCTTGACATTTTCTGGGAAAACAACAACAACAAACTTTGTCTAGGTAGGAGTGAGTGCAGGAAGCAAAGCTTCAAATATGGATCTCTGAGGATCTGATGGCTGAGGGTCCTACACTGGCTGACTGTGCTCTGTAGTGGCTGCCCTGAGTCTGTCATACAGGGAGCGTTCAATGTGATGAGACCTGTGTCCTTGTGGCTGCATGGCTTGCCTTCAGGTCTACGTTTATAAAGTCATCATAATAGCCATAGGGCAGTGTGGTGCACGCTTTTGATCCCAGCACTCGGGAGGCAGAGCCACACTCTGCAAGTGTGAGGCCAGCCTGGTCTACAGAGAGAGAGAGATCTAGGACAGGCACCAAAACTACACAGAGAAACCCTGTCTTGAAAAACAAAACAAAAAAAAATCAACATAATAATATAACATCCCTGTGGTGATATTTTGTTTGTGCTCTAACAAATAAAGCTTGTCTGAAGATCAGAGGGTGGAGCGAGCCATTAGTCAGCCATAGAGGTCTGGAGGTCTGTATAGACAGGAAGTGATATGGCTTGGCAGAGAGAGGAATATAAGGTGGTCAGAGACAGGAGCTTGGCCCCTTTTC